AAAAGGACAGCAACTTGTCTGTTCCCCTTCCCTGAGTCCCCAATGCTGTTTCCCTCCCCCATTTCCCCAATAAAATCTTTAAAAAAAAGAAAGAAGAAAAATAAAAGAAAATCTTGTATGCTTATTTATTAATTCAGTTAAACACAATTCAACAAATAATTATAGAGTGCCAACAAGTGCCGGTCACATCACAAGCAGGGGCTACTGTACAGCTCAGTAATTCAACTCACAAAAACAACTGAGGTCCAAAAAGGCTATGTACCTACAGCAATGAGCAAACCTAGCACTCATATCTTGGTTTCTAATGCTATTCTCCAATAAAAGGAACTAAGGCTCACTGGAGAAATAGCTAAGCCCAGACCGGGATAGGAAATAGACAAGATGAACCTGTAGAATCTTATAGTGCCAAAAAGTAAGGACGTACCCCCAAACAAACATGCAAACTCCACACTGATGGGGATATGCCAAAGGAGCACAGGAAACAGCAGAAAGAATTCCCAATAGCCAAAACTTCGGCTTTAAAAAAAATTTTTTTAATTGAGCAATAAAGTAGTATTGATACAATCCAAAGTATAAACTAAAACATCCATGAGTCCATATTGATAAATAAATGGCTGGATAAATAAATAAATGAGGGAGAATAGACAAATCTCTTGTGCTGAGGAATTCCAAATAATGTATGTACTAGATAACCTGACCTCAAAGAAGGTGATAGAGACTTCCCTCCAAAGAGTATAGTATAACTGAGGTTAACTAATAAGCAGAAATTCTTAATTTAATGAAATTGATTGAAGAGTTTAAGTTAAACCCTCCAAGATTAAAATATAATGCTGTCATGTTTGCTTATATATGGATGCTATTTTCAAATCAACTTCATACTGGACATTGCTTTAAACAGAAAGAAGCTTCTTTACCTTCAGGTTCCAGCAACTTGGGGATTTTTAATTCTCGTTCTGCGATTTTGAAGGCCTCTTTCAGGTTGTCTTTGTTGGATCTATGCTTCACACTCTTCATGTCAATTAGGTCTGGTCGCAAGGCATGAATGACAGCCAAAAAAGCCATCCCATTTCTCCAGCTCGACTTAAAATCTGTCACACTGACAGACTCATACCTATGATGAGAGGACAAAAACATGACAAACACTATTTAAAAGAATATATCAAAGCACCCCCACTACCTTCAACAGTAATTAAAACATATTTGAGTGAATCAAATAAATCATAAATCTCTCTAGGACACTATTTTATTTTAATCTTGTGGTCATATTAAAGTAAAATGCCCAGTTTGATGAGGCTCACAATACTACAGAACCTTGGTTCTCAAAGTGTGGCCCCTGGGCGAGCAAGCATCAGTATCACCTGGGCTGCAAACACTAGAAATGAAAATCAGATTCTGGATGTAAGCCTGAAATCTGTATCTTTAAAAACCCTCCTAGTGACAATGATATTCACTCAAGTTTAATGCTGTTCATTCAATAATCTGTTGGCTCAAGACTGACTTTAGAGCTCTACATACAGTTAAGTTCCTTTCACTAGAAGGAACAATTTTCTTTCTCACGGAAACTAAGTAAATGACACAGTGTGCCAAATCAATGGCCAGTAGCTCTTTGGATAGATGAACCTTATCACTCCTGGCTTAAAACAAGTCCTCACAGATGAATGGCTAAACAAAATGTGTTACGAGGTGTAATCGCAAAATACAGTGAATGTTTACATTTTAAAAGTGTATTACAGTAAAAGACACATTGTCATCAATCCCCTACAAAATACTCCCCCTCGCTTTGAACACACTTCTCCCATCGTTCTTGACACTTTCTGAAGCAGTTCTGGAAGTCCTCTTTCATGAGTGTCTTTAGTTGCGCTGTCGTGGCTACCTTGATGTCCTAATCGATTCAAAACATTTACCTTTTATGGTCATTTTGGCTTTGGGAAAGTCAGAGGTCGCACGGTGCCAGATCCAGTGAATAAGGTGGATGAAGACACACCGTCATGTTTTTATTTGACAGAACTTGCCACATACCAGAAGCAATGTGTGACATGGAGGCTTTCCATTGTGATCAACAAATATGATGAATGCTGCTGCTGAGTGCCATCCAACAGAAAGGCAGGGATCTTCAATACGGAAAGCGGCATGTCCAACATTAATAACAGTGTGTAACAAGTTTCAACTTGTGTGGTGCAGTCAGGGGGCTACGGTTGAGACAAGGTATGTTTTAAAGTGTGCCCTAAATCACCCTACATCACGACAACACTCCTTGTCACACATCGCTTCTGGTATATGTCAATTTCTGTCAAATATAAACATTACAATGTTTCCTCATCCACCTTAATCACTGAATCTGGCACTGTGTGACTTCTGGCTCTTCCCCAAAGTCAAAATGATTCAGGGCATCGAGGCAGCCACGACAGCGCAACTAAAGACACTCACAAAAGAGGACTTCCAGGGCTGGCCAAGTGGCGCGATGGTTAAGAACTGGCTTGGGACGCCAGAGACCCCGGTTCGGATCCCACATATGAGGGCCAGTGACACTGCCCTCTACAGCTAAGATGCTGAACAACAGCTCAACCTGGAGCTGGGCTGCCGGGAGTCGCCGGCGACGGCATAGGCTGCAGCCCCTGTGGCAGTGGGTTGCCATGGGCTACCGTGTGTAGCCAGCAGCCAGCGTGAGCGGCCAGCAGCCGCAGTGAGCGGCCGTCCAGAAGCCAGCAACTGATCTGCCTCGCCCGGGAAGGCGCACTGATGGTGCCAACTTGGGCCAGTGAAGCAACGTCCTCCACAACTAGACTGAAGAACAAAAAGGACAGCAACTTGTCTGTTCCCCTTCCCCCAATTCCCCAGCACTGTTCCCATCCCCCCATTCCCCAATTGAAAAAAAAAAAAGAGTACTTCCAGAACTGCTTCAGAAAGGGGCAAAAATGATGGGATAAGCATGTTCAAAGAGAGGGGGAGTGTTCTGAGGGGGATAAATGGCAATGTGTCTTTTACTGTAATGAATTTTGTTTTTATTTAATCATTCACCGTATTGTTCTCCTCGTATACACACAATGGCATATTATTCAGCCCTAGAAAGGACATTCTGACACATGCTACAACATGAAAGACCCTTGAAGATATTGTGCTGAGTGAAATAAGCCAGCCACAAAAGGACAAATACTTTATGATTCTACTCATTTAAGATACCTAGAATAGGGAAATTCATAAAGAAAGTAGACCCCTAGTTGCTAGGGAGGAATGAGGAAGTTGTTTAACAGATATGGAGTTTTAGTTTTGCAAGATTAAAAAAGTTCTAGTTACTGGTAGTGGCCATGGCTGCACAACAATGTGAATGTACTGTATGCCACTAAACAGTACACATAAAAATAGTTACATTGGTAAATCTTATATTATGTATATTCTATAATAAAAAAAATTATTTGGAAAAAAAAAGTCCATCATAGTTTGTCATCATACGTAGAATAATACCTCTCACTCTGGCCCACAAAGCCTTACAAGATTTTGCTCCCGCCTACCTCTCCCCCGTTAATATCTCCCTCCTTACAATGTGGAAGCCAAACTGGCCTCATTCCTGTTTCTCAATGGCCATGCTCTTTTTAATCCTTCTGCTTGGAAACTCTTTCTGCCAGGTCTTCATATACCTGAAGCCTTCTCCTGCAAGTCTCAGCTCAAAGGTCTCCTCCTCAGAAAGGTGCTGCATAAGCACCTAAGATAAAGGCAACCCTCTTCCTACCCTTGACATTCTCGGTCATCATAAGTCTGTCCAGACCTTATTGCCAGTGGTAATTAGTATATGTATTCATCCACTTCCCCAACTAGGGTACAAGCCCCTTGAGAGCAAGGGGCTTTGTCTTCCTTGTCCACCATGGTAGACTCACCCCACAAACACTACCTGCCACATAAAGATGCTTAATATATACATTTCAAATCACTCAATCAATTGCTATTCTGTATTTGACAAGGGATAAAGACGTTATAAAAGAGTATAGTTGCCTACAAAGTGTGGGAACTGTTCCAGAACTATAGTTTCCTTTAAGATCCTATTAAAAAAACACAAGGAAATTCCATGGACTAATTTAGGGCATAAATCAAATCATAATAGCTACTTAAGAAACAGTCTGTTTCAGATGACCTGGGCTTTCTTTAGAAAAAAAAACTCTAAATTATGACTGTGATAAACTGTATGGTAGCCAGTGACTTTTGTCTTGTTTAACAAATATTATGTCATACCTACTGTGTCCAGAAACTATTCCAAATGGTTAAAAAAAATTTTTTTATTATACACACAATAACTCTATGAAGTAAGTGTTAGTATTGTCCATTTTATGACTCAGGAAAGCGGAGCACAAAGAGATGAAGGGTCTAAGGTCATCAGTTAGAAAGTGCTGGGAGCAGGACTCAAACCCAAGTATTCTGACTTTAGAGTGTCACTTAGATACTAAACTTCAGAGGGTGCTGCGATGCTAAACTAAGTTGATAGCTAAAGAGTTAGGGGCTTGGTCTGAAGGCAGGGCCAGGCTATCTTCAGAGCGCTGAGGGGGCCAGAACCAGCTCAGTGCTGACTGGCAGGCACTACACTCAATAAAGCACCAGGCTACGGGGTCAGCTCTGCACTAAGGGGCCGAAACCAATGCCACAAAGAACAAGCTACTGCCAGGTCTTGGAGAGGGCAAGGTTAGGCTCCGGAGTGATTGGTAGGATCTAGATTCATCTAGAAGTCTTAGATAGGGGAACAATTTATCTCCTTCAGAAATAAGAAGATACAACATGTTTCTTACAACATAGTCTGGATAAATCACAGATTACTGAAATAAAATTTACCTAATAATACCACCAATGATGGCCAAAACTAGGATAAACTCCTGATGAGTTACTTAAGAATTACTACATCTTAATAAGTTTAGCATAAACTCTATAGTTGAAAAATAAGGAAGGACATGGGGAAAAGATAAACTGTGGTAAAATATATGAACTTTGAAAGGATTTAAAGCTTATCTATGCATAAATGAAATCAATCTGAATATGATGTAATAATATTTTTTCACAGGTGTAATATTTTGGAATAAAAAAATATGTCGATAACCGAAGTAAAAGGGTCTCTTGGAGATTCAAGAAAAACGTCATTTTATATATTGGGTTGTCGGAAAAGTCATGATGCATTTTTGAAAAGAAAAACATAGAAAAAATACATCATGACTTTTCTGACAATTCAATATTTAAAACCTATATGGATTGGAACTGATAAATGAATTCAGTAAGGTAGGAGGATACAAAATCAATATTCAGAAATCAGTTGCATTTGTATACACCAATAACAAACTTCCGGAAGGAGAAATTAAGAAAACAGTCTCGGGCCGGCCGAGTGGCGCGATGGTTAAGAACTCGCTTGGGATGCCAGAGGGCCCCGGTTCGGATCCCACATATGAGGGCCAGTGACACTGCCCTC